TCTTGGATGGACTCATCATTTTAAATGGACTTTAAGCCCCGTACACACGATGAGAATATCGGACGAACGATCGACCGTTTTTTTTTTTTTTCGCCTGCTAGTCTCACATCGAAAGTGAAAAGGTTATTAAAGACACGAAAATTCTCCTATGAAAGAAAAGAATTTCGAAAGTGATGTCATGTATTGTATTGTGTTTGTATTGTATTTTCAGACGACTACTGTACTGATTAAGCTGTACTGATTAGGTGCACTAGCAGATTTAAACACACTAAGCAAATTGAAGCCAAACGCACACATTTGGCTTCAATTTCCTAGTATATTTAACCTCTTTGCGCTGGCCGAACGCAAATGTGCTGCCTCCCGGCATCTGGGCCTAGTGCTAAGCGGCCGCACATTTGCGTTCTATTAAAAGAGAACATATGTGCTGAGAGCGCTCCCAGCACACATGTCCGGTACTCATGGAAAGGTCCCGATCTCCTCTTTCAATCAGGACCTTTCCCGATCATGTGACGGCCGCTTCCGATCGCCTAGGCCAGGGGTAGGCAACCTGCGGCTCTGCGGGTGAGTGGAGCCTTAAAGCGGAGCTCCACTCACCCTGTCAAACAATAAAAGTCAAGAGCTACAAAACTGATTTTTAAAAAACAGCCACTTACCTGTCCCTCGGTGTGACCCCCCCCAGCCCGTTTCACTGGCCGTTCTGTATGACAGGAGGGGGACATGTTTAGTGTGGGCACCCGGCTGTGACAGCTTGCGGCTTCACAGCCGGGTACCCACTGCGCATGCACGAGTAGCTCTGGGCTTCATGAATGGTTCTGTAGTCTTCTGGGACCTGTCACGTGTCCCAAAATACTACAGGGAGGGAGGACACCTTCCGCTTCCAATCGTCTAGGTCAGGGGTAGGCAAGCTGTGGCTCTCTAGCTGTTGTGGAACTACATTTCCCATGAGGCATTGCAAAGATTACAAAAGTTACCGCTATGACTTGCAGAGGCATGATGGAACTTGTAGTCCTGCAGCTCTCAGGTTGCCTATCCCTGGCCTAGGCAATCGGCCCGGACGTGGGAGCGAGTACCTGTCAAATTCGGGTACCCGCTCCCCAATCCTTGATGGGGAGCGGGGGGAGCAGTCCTTAAAGCGGAACTTCCCCTTTTGGGTGGAGCTCCGCTTTAAGGTTGCATTGCTGTTATCATTCTTAGTAGGAAGGGGGTGGGGAGAGGTCAGCTTAAAGTAGGAGACCAACAAATTAAAAGCCCAACTCACACTTTGCAAGACATCACACCTTTTTTATTTTTTTTTGTTTTTGGAAAAGCACCACTGATGGTGTTATATTGTTTATCTCCATTGTAACTGCCACTTTTGCCGGACAGCTTGGCCCGTTACAGGAAGCGGAACTATAATGAGATCTACCGGCGGGATCCACAGCCAATAAAATTATGGACACAGGAGACTCGTGTTAATACTAGTGACTGACTGTCTCATATATGTATTTATTTTTTGTCCCGAGTTCCATTTACAGTTTACACCCGAATCCTCCAACCTCACTCCACTTCCAATGAATCATTTCTAGTGGAGTCCTTCATTCTGTGTATCCAGTAAAGTTATGGGAACATAAGACAACGTCGAACATTCTGAATGAGAACAATGATATACGGCAATAAAAACAGGCGCTTTGTTTCTTTGTTCCCCTCTTGATGATGATGTTGTTGTTGTTGTGTTCTTTCCAGTCGTTCCACTTTTGGAAAAAGTGACCATCGGTCAAGACTGATTCACTGTGTAAGGGATTGTTGAAGCGAAGTATTTCACAATTTTTAGGAAATACCAGATACAATTTCCCCTTTTTTTGTATGCTAAGTATTAAAAAAAGAATAAAAAAAAAAAGTATTCACCTCACAATTATTTATTAGACTTTTCAACTTCCCCTCCATAGCTTGAGAAGAGATATTTTTTAAATTATTTTGCTCTGTAAATTGACAAAAAAATTTATTTTTGAACAATAAAGTCTCTTTTTGTATTCTTTCTTTCTTATGCCTTTTTATTTGTGGTATTGATGACGAAAGCCAGAATTTAACTCTTTTTTACTCTATCCAAAACTGGAAACAAGTTTTGCTTTTGGATATACCGAAGCAATAGTATGTGCACAGTTAGTATTTACACTGAAAAAGAAAATCGCTCAATAACCGTTCACACACTTTGGCTGCATTCACGCCGAGCAGTTTATGATGTGCTTCTGTTCAGCTTAAGGGCCTTTTCACACAGGCGGATCTGCCTGCTCAGTGTACAATCTAAGGTCCCTAACCCTCAAGAAGCATACAATCTAAGGTCCCTAACCCTCAAGGGGCGTACAATCTAAGGTCCCTAACCCTCAAGGTGTGTACAATCTAAGGTCCCTAACCCTCAAGGGGTGTACAGTCTAAGGTCCCTAACCCTCAAGGGGTGTACAATCTAAGGTCCCTAACCCTCAAGGGGCGTAGTCTAAGGTCCCTAACCCTCAAGGGGCATACAATCTAAGGTCCCTAACCCTCAAGGGGCGTACAATCTAAGGTCCCTAACCCTCAATGGGCGTACAATCTAAGGTCTCTAACCCTCAAGGGGCGTACAATCTAAGGTCCCTAACCCTCAAGGTGTGTACAATCTAAGGTCCCTAACCCTCAAGGGGCGTACAATCTAAGGTCCCTAACCCTCAAGGGGTGTACAGTCTAAGGTCCCTAACCCTCAAGGGGCATACAATCTAAGGTCTCTAACCCTCAAGGGGTGTACAGTCTAAGGTCCCTAACCCTCAAGGGGCGTACAATCTAAGGTCCCTAACCCTCAAGGGGCGTGCAATCTAAGGTCCCTAACCCTCAAGGGGTGTACAATCTAAGGTCCCTAACCCTCAAGAGGTGTACAATCTAAGGTCCCTAACCCTCAAGGGGCGTGCAATCTAAGGTCCCTAACCCTCAAGGGGCGTACAATCTAAGGTCCCTAACCCTCAAGGGGTGTGCAATCTAAGGTCCCTAACCCTCAAGGGGCGTGCAATCTAAGGTCCCTAACCCTCAAGGGGCGTGCAATCTAAGGTCCCTAACCCTCAAGGGAGGTACAATCTAAGGTTCCTAACCCTCAAGGGGCGTACAATCTAAGGTCCCTAACCCTCAAGGGGCGTGCAATCTAAGGTCCCTAACCCTCAAGGGAGGTACAATCTAAGGTTCCTAACCCTCAAGGGGCGTACAATCTAAGGTCCCTAACCCTCAAGGGGCGGACAATCTAAGGTCCCTAACCCTCAAGGGGCGTACAATCTAAGGCCCTAATCCTCAAGGGGCGTACAATCTAAGGTCCCTAACCCTCATGGGGCGTACAATCTAAGGTTCCTAACCCTCAAGGGGGGTACAATCTAAGGTCCCTAACCCTCAAGGGGCGGACAATCTAAGGTCCCTAACCCTCAAGGGGCGTACAATCTAAGGTCCCTAACCCTCAAGGGGCGTACAATCTAAGGTCCCTAACCCTCAAGGGGCGTACAATCTAAGGTCCCTAACCCTCAAGGGGCGTACAATCTAAGGTCTCTAACCCTCAAGAAGCGTACAATCTAAGGTCCCTAACCCTCAAGGGGCGTACAGTCTAAGGTCCCTAACCCTCAAGGGGCGTCCAATCTAAGGTCCTTAACCCTCAAGGGCCGTACAATCTAAGGTCCCTAACAATCAAGGGGAGTACAATCTAAGGTCCTTAACCCTCAAGGGCCGTACAATCTAAGGTCCCTAACCCTCAAGGGGCGTTCAATCCAAGGTCCCTAACTCCCATTCATACATACACATATTAGGGCCAATTTAGACAGGATCCAATTCACCTACCAGCATGTCTTTAGAGTGTGGGAGGAAACCAGAGTACCTAGAGGAAACCCACACAGGCACAGGGAGAACATGCAAACCATTTAGTCACTGTGCTGCCCATTGGGAATAAAAATCGTTCATGTTGATTTAGAACGTTCAGATCTGCTTTAGCCCCCGTTTTATGGGCTGTGCCATATTCGGTCTCTATAGCAAATAAAAAAAGAAAAAAGCAATCAATGCGGATACTGAACTAATTGTATAATCGTACATAGATTGCGGTCTGCAAAGGGAGAGTCGGTGGAGGAGTTTGGACGGGTTACATCCATTTTCCTGTCCATGCGTTTCTAAAGACTTTCTCTCCCTGCAACGTTTTACAGACCGCTTCCAGCAAGGATTGCAAAGGATCACGCAGGCAGTTTATTAGCATTGCCACATGGAGTTTCTGTTTTCCACAAGGACGGAACATGTTGAAACTGATGACATGGGGGTCTAAAGTACAGTTCTGTTTAAGTGATCTTCCTAGAAACAAGTTTGTTATTGTCATTCTTGATTCTGAAAATATTTTTGAGAAAATAAAATGATAAAGCTGAGTTCCAGGAAAAGGGTAAATTATGAAATGAAACACAAATGAGGGAGCTGTTTTACCTGTCCAAGGATTTGTATTTCTGTCCATCCAGTTTTAAAATATACACCGCTCTGCCACACAGCACATCCCTGTCTGGCAGGGAAGGAGACCTGATTTAATCTGTGATGCAGCTCAGTAATACGCACAGGTCTTTTCCCTCCCCTAGCCTGTGACGGGACAGTGAAAAGAGAAGCTGCAGACTGATGGGCTCATCCTTCTGTCACACTGTTCTCTCCTCCTATCAGTATGTTCATTGTTAACACATAAGCACTGCAGCACACCAGATTGGCTCCTTGTCTTGCACTTTCCACTCTCAGTCTGATGTCTGCACAGGCCGATGCGAATATTTAGGTACTTAGACTGCTTGCATTAAGTTTATATAGATAAAAAAAAATATACATGCAGTGTGTGTGTATAATGGATAGATAGATTTGCATTAACCTTGGTCTTTTCTCTTTTATATGTACATGGAGTTCAGCCCAATGCAATCTTCATATAAACAGGTTTGTTTTAGTCACCATTGCTGTTGGAAGTTTTTATTGAAAAGTATACGTGTCCAAGAAGCCCTGCATTCACTATATCCGCTCTCCCCGGACCGCGCATTCACTATATCCGCTCTCCCCGGACCCTGCATTCACTATATCCGCTCTCCCCGGACCCTGCATTCACTATATCCGCTCTCCCCGGACCCCGCATTCACTATATCGCTCTCCCCGGACCCTGCATTCACTATATCCGCTCTCCCCGGACCCCGCATTCACTATATCCGCTCTCCCCGGACCCCGCATTCACTATATCCGCTCTCCCCGGACCCTGCATTCACTAGATCTGCTCTCCCCGGACCCTGCATTCACTAGATCTGCTCTCCCCGGACCCCTGCATTCACTATATCCGCTCTCCCCGGACCCCGCATTCACTATATCCGCTCTCCCCGGACCCCGCATTCACTATATCCGCTCTCCCCGGATTCTGCATTCACTATATCCGCTCTCCCCGGACCCCGCATTCACTATATCCGCTCTCCCCGGACCCCGCATTCACTATATCCGCTCTCCCCGGACCCCGCATTCACTATATCCGCTCTCCCCGATTCCCGCATTCACTATATCCGCTCTCCCCGGGCCCCGCATTCACTATATCCGCTCTCCCCGGGCCCCGCATTCACTATATCCGCTCTCCCCGGACCCCGCATTCACTATATCCGGACTCCCCGGACCCCGCATTCACTATATCCGGACTCCCCGGACCCCGCATTCACTATATCCGACTCCCCGGACCCCGCATTCACTATATCCGCTCTCCCCGGGCCCCGGCATTCATTATATCCGCTCTCCCCGGAACCCGCATTCACTATATCCGCTCCCCGGAACCCGCATTCACTATATCCAGTCTCTCTGGACCCCGCATTCACTATATTCGCTCTCCCCGGACCCTGCATTCACTATATTCCGCTCTCCATGGATCCTGCATTCACTATAGCCGCTCTCCCCGGACCCTGCATTCACTATATACGCTCTCCCGGACCCTGCATTCACTAGATCTGGTCTTCCCCTGGACCCTGCATTCATTATATCTGGTCTCCCTGAACCCTGCATTCACTATATCCGCTCTCCCCGGACCCTGTATTCACTATATCCGCTCTCCCCGCACCCGCATTCACTATAAATGTGTTATTTTTGCATAACCCATTTTTCTCTATAAAAATGACTTTGCGGTTGAAAATGTGTGAAACCTCTGGGTGGCTGCGTGTTGATACGGAGTTCCGAGTTGGAGGATTCCGGTTTTTTCGATTGTAATGCTGGTGATGTTCTACTTGTTCAGGTATGTTGCCCGAGGCCAAGTAAGTTTCCTCGTGACTCTTGCAGCATGTGATTCCTCCGCTTGGGGTTTTCCTGGAAACTTTGACACTCACCAAAGAAGGGAACCGTCAGGTAAGGGTGGACCTTTTTTCGTTCAATTAACTCGCATTGAGAGAAATACGTAGGCAGATGTTGCCATCCTCCTCCCAAAAATTTCCATTTGCCTGACTTTATTACTTTCTGATCATGAACAAGTGTGTGTCCAGTGAAGTCAGAACTTCCAGATAAGTGAGGCAGGCCATACATGGTTCGAATTCCGAACGATTTTACGTCTGAAAATCGAAACAACGTTCGTTCTGTAATCCGATGGTGCCACCAATGATTTAAAAAAATCAGTCGTTTTTCACAAATTTTCCAGCATGCCCAATAAACGAAATGGGGAGGAACCATGAAAATCAGCCATAGTGCAGAGCGAAAAAAGGCCGATTATTCTTAGGTCCGATTTTCATATGAAAATCGTTCGGAATTTGAACCATGTAGGGCCTGCATAAGGCTGGCCATCCACTATAAAATTTTCTTTCAGTTTTCTGCCCAATTTCCTTTAGATTTACCTTCAACTATGTAGTGCAAGGGCCGGCCTACTTGAATACAACTGAAAGTGTTGTTTAGGTTGGAACTCATGGTTTTTGGTAAATCTAAAGCAAAATTCTCAAATAAATTGTGTAATGCAGGCTTTGAAATTTCCACTCGCCTGCTTGCCAATGGTGAGTGGAAGTTATGGTGGGTGGCGAGTGTGTCCCCCACCGCCGTCTTGCTGAGCAGGCTCGGAGCTCAGGCCGGATCTGTCATTGACACTGGGAGCCGTCAGACTGCGCAGTGAAAGCAAAAGAAGGAGTGTGTGCTGTGTGCTGTGCTCTCTGCCTCCCCCTAGAGTGCAGTACCCGGCTCTGTGAGTGAACAACGAAGAACTGTTTTCTGTCCAATTTCTTTTAGATTTACCTTCAACTATGTAGTGCAAGGGCCCGCCTACTTGAATACAACTGCAAGTGTTGTTTAGGTTTGATCTCATCTTATATGGTTTTTGGTAAATCTAAAGCAAAATTCTCTGCAGGAAATGTGTTTTTTTTTTTTTTTTTCAAAAAGGTGAACTTGTCCTTTATACCCCAACTTTGAAATCGCGCGACTTGCAGTGAAGTCGAACGATTTCAAAGTCAGATGACACGCCGATTTGAGGTGCGATTTGCAAGACATGTGACACAGAGGTCTATCCAAATCGCACAGAACTAAGTACATGCGCTACTTTAGAAATCGGGGTGGTTCCGGCCTAGTCGGGAACCGCACTGATATGACCGCTGTAATTCCGGACAATTGGGTGCGATTTGGATGCGATTTTGCAAGTCGCATGCCAAGTTGCACCTAGTGTGACCAGAATCTTAAACATGTGTACTATTATTATTATTATTATTATATTATAGGATTTATATATTATTATTATTATTATACAGGATTTATATATTATTATTATTATACAGGATTTATGGCGCCAACAGTTTGCTCAGCGCTTTACAATATAAAGGGAGACAATACAGACAATACAGCAACAATACAGTTCAATACAAGAAGGTTAGAAGGGCCCTGATCCTGGGAGCTTACAATCTAAGAGGGAGGGGCCAGTGGTACAAAAGGTAATAACTGTGGGAGATGGACGGGTAGGAGGAATATTATTATACAGGATTTATATCGCGCCAACAGTTTGCTCAGCACTTTACAATATAACGGGAGACAATACAGCAACAATACAAGAGAGATAGGAGGGCCCTGATCCTGGGAGCTTACAATCTAAGAGTGTACAAATAAAAAGGCAAAAATTGGCTCTGGCAGTTAAAAGGGTTAAACTGACATTTCAGTTGGCCTTCAAATATGCTCATATTTAGATTATATACAGGGACATCCCTAGGGTTGGTGTCACCCGGTGCGATAACACTTGGTGACACCCTCTCCTACAATCCCCGCAGGATGGATGAGTCCAATCCATTATGCTCCCCAATCCGCAGATCCATTCTGCGGGGATCGTCGGCATGCAGCCTATACGGGGTGACACCGGACCCGCTCCACAAAAAGGTAAGTTGTAAAACAAGCCGACGATTCCGGCAGGATGGATCAGATCTGTGGATTGGGGAGCATAATGGACCGGTGACACTGGAAACCCGCTCCACGAAAAGGTAAGTTGTAAAACAAGCCAACGATCCCGGCAGGATGGATCGGCTCTACAGATTGGGGAGCGTAATGGATCGGACTCCAATCTACTATGCTCCCCAATCCGCAGATCCGATCCATCCTGCAGGAATCGTCAGCTTGCTTTACAACTTACCTTTTCGTGGAGCTGGTCTGGTGTCACTTGGTGCGGTGCGCACCCCCCCGCCTAGGGACGCCCCCTGATTATATATACAATATTTTAATTGAAAAGAAAAAAAAGGAATGCCATTGTGTGATCTGCTGTGACCTCACCCAACCTTCCCCATAGACCGCATTCTTACATGTCACATCTGTGACCTTTACGTCACACATCTTTTGTAATTGTTTATTTTTCGGGGAAATATCTCTCAGAATACATCTGAGCACATGCTTGAGCTATTTTGTAAATACGTTCTTCATCATGCTGGTTGTGTGACCTCCTAGTAATAGGAATTTATATTTGAAGAATGCCACGGGGCTGTAGAACATCTTGGAAATCCTAAGAGGGCTTAAAAAAACAATAAAAATATCACATGTTTGCCAGAAGCGGCTGCCTTTGGCCCACGTGAGTAAGTAATAATTCTTCCATCTGAATCAGCAGTATTAATATTTGGAGTCCTTAATAAGCAGAACAGATGATATTATTGCATGCGAATGGAACGACAAGCATTTCTTCCTTTTTTTTTTACCTAAAACTGTGAATTGTTACGTGGTTGCTCACAGCGGTTACGTGCGTCAGATGGGTGGTGATGTGATGATATATATACTACTTCATCTACTTATCTCCTATTAGGAGATAAGTAGATGAAGTAGTTGTGTTATTACGTTATATTTGGTGATTTCAACATTGCTCATTTCCTGCTTTTTCTTTAATAAGAATATACAAATTGTCGATTGGAGATGTCTTTCTTGGACGCCCTTACAGCGGATGAGTGAAAGCGAAAGAATTTAGAGCAAGTGAGTATATGATCTATCATTTCTTCCTGCAGTTGTCTGGGGGAATTCTTTGGACATTACTGACTGGCACAAGGGCTAGTTGTGTTCTCTGAAAGTGAACAGTCAACCAGAAGGAAATAATAATCAGATTTGTTAACATAAACATGTCGCAAAGCGGGGAAATGCAAACTAGGGATGAAAACAATGCAGAAGTTACCTTCCATCAACACAAAGGCAATTAAGAGATACAGGTCGCTAAAGCTAGGCTGAAAGAAAAAAAAAAAAAAATGAGGGGGAGAGAGAGGGGAGGGGGGGGAGAGAGAGAGGGGGGGGGGGGGAGAGAGAGAGGGGGGGGGGGGAGAGAGGGGGGGGGAGAGAGAGGGGGGGGGAGGGAGGGAGGGAGAGGGCGAGAGAGAGGGAGAGAAAGAAAGGGAGAGAAATAGAGAGAGAGAGAGAGAGAGAAGAAAGAAAAAAAAAAAAAAAAAACATCCATGTAGCTCAACCAAATAAAAAAAAAAAAAAAAAAAAAACAATAACTGAATAAATAAATGAATTGAAAACGGTTCCATTTGCTCCTTCCTGATCCCAGAACTAACAAGCCATCAGTAGCAGAACCTTTAAGTTCTATATGTTGTATGGTGGGGCCTCCGTGGATCGAACTTCTTTTTCCAGCACATCCCACAGATGTTTGATTGGGTTGAAATCTGGAGAATTTCGAGGCCGAGTCCAACTTGTGTTTCTCAAACCATTCTGGAATTCATCAGACCTGACCACCTTCTTCCATTGCTGCAGTGTCCATTCTGATGCTCCCGTGCCCATTGTAGACTCTTTTAACCACCTCCCGTTTGACCCATGTACATAAACGGCTGGATGGGAGTGGTGCAGGTGCGGGTGACCATTTATAAACGGCCTCCACATTCACTGCCTGTGCGCGATACCACGGAACATGCGGCATCGCGATCGGCACCAGAACACCGATCGCTGTACGGGACCTCTGTGCACATTTTTTTTTACTGTTTTCCTTCAATTTAAATAGGAACATGTACATTTTTGATGCGTTTTACCGCATCCCAGTAGAGTTCTGTGCAGGAAAACTGCAGTCTGTTCTACTTTTTTTTCTGCGTCCGGAACGCACTGGAACTGCCAGCACTGATGTGAACTACGGCACTGACCACCATATGACCTACTTTCTGTGCATTCTGGATACAGAAAAAAAAGCAACTAAAATGCAGGTAGTGTGACCCGGCCTTTAAACACTGAACATGAGCCACACAGGCAGCAACTGCAAATTTACCACAAGCCAACAGAGGATTCAGATTTTTTTATTTTTTTTCTTTAGTAGGAAAGTCACCATAAAAATATCTCTGGAGAGGAGATCCCCTGATCACCAAAAAAAAAAAAAAAAACAAAAAAAAACCTTTCGATGAAACAGACATTCACTACCGTCAATGTGTACAGACCGCACACGCAGAGGAATGATCCCTTTTGGATTTTGAGCCGATATTTAACAGACAAAAAAAAAAAATAATCAGTGAGCGATCGCACTGCTGCTTAAGACATCCAGTCTCTGCAGTTGCATTGTGGGAAAAATAAAAGACTGCTCTGGGCCACCCTTACCGTGGGGGAGAGTGCTTCCCTTACTTTAAATAAATTACCAATTTAGAAAAAGAAAAAAAAGAAGAAGAAGAGGTGCCATTTTGTGTGTTAAATTCATAATTACCAAATAATAATTAATAAATGAATTACCAATTTTGAAAAAAAGAGGCGCGCCATTTTGTGTGTTAAATTCATAATTACTAAATAATAATAAATGAATTACCAATAAAAAAAAAAAGAGGCACGCCATTTTGTGTGTTAAATTTGTAATTACCAAATAATAATTAATAAATGAATTAACAATAAAAAAGAGGCGTGCTATTTTGTGTGTTAAATTAATAATTACCAAATAATAATTAATTGCCAATTTTTTTTAAAAAAAGGAGGTGCGCCATTTTATGTGTTAAATTCATAATTACCAAATAATTAATAAATTAGTTACCAAAAAAAAAAAAAAAAAAAAAAAAAAAAAAAAGGAGGCGCGCAATTTTGTGTGTTAAATTCATACGCTGCTAAATCGCTACCGCGTCGAGACGCAAAGCATTCTCACGCGTGACGAGATAGTTCGCATAACAGCAGGAGCACTTCAACAGAACCAGCAGAGTTCTAAAACCGCTCCAAACTAGGTATGCAGACAGCTGCTGTTAGCAGAACCGTCCTCTAAACCCCAAATGGCAATGATGGGGAGGGCGAGGAGTGTGCCTAATGTGAAGGCAGAGAGACCTCAGGGCAGCTCCTTGTGGCACTGGGAGCGATTTTCTACCCCTTGTTTTTAAAATTTAAGAACTATGCCAACTGCCACTGCTGACAATGGAAGTTCCTTGGCCGCCTTTGCCAATTCTTTGGTTTTAATACTTTTGGTGTTGCGGAGCTGGAAAAGTATATACAGTAAGTCAGGCTCTTCCACTTAATTGGTCCAAGCATTTTAATCGGCAGCCCCTGTAAGATCAATAATCACCATCGCTTTCTTAAACAGTGCCTCATACTCAAACCGACTTCCTCCACTCCCTGAATACTGTTGCCGATTGGTCAAAACGGTGACATTTCTATGTATCCTACGCATGACAGCTGCAACGTCACAAATTGCCGCATTCGTTGGGGAGCATCGCCCTCTAGGAGTAGCCGGCAGTTACTGCGAGGTAGCGGCATTACAGGGGGTGTGGGGTGTAAGGGGAGTGTCCACATCGCCACGTGTTTTAAGTTGCCCACAGGGCAGAGACGTTCACAGAGGAATTGAAAGATAAATAGAATTCTATGCAGGGTATCTATACAGAGGAGTCGGTTGGCAGGTACGGGATATATACATTCCAGTCTGTTGTAGTAACAGCTCCACAGAATAGTCTCCGTGCGCAGCTCGCCATCACACCCTATGTGATGTCCTTCTGTCTTGGGGGACGGTGAATATTTCTTACTACACACTTTACCATCCACTCCACGCCTTCATTCAAGCCCCTCCTGGAGATGGGGGGGGGGGGGGGAGAGAGCGGGGGAGAGAGAGAGGAGAGAGGGGGAGAGAGAGAGGAGAGAGGGAGAGAGAGAGGGGAGGGGGGGGGGAGGAGGGAGAGAGAGAGGGGGAGAGGGGAGAGAGAGAGGGGGGAGGGAGAGAGAGAGAGGGGGGGGGAGAGGAGAGAGAGAGAGGGGGGGGAGAGAGAGAGAGAGAGGGGGGGGGGGGAGAGAGAGAGAGAGGGGGAGAGGGGAGAGAGAGAGAGGGGAGAGGGGGAGAGAGAGAGGGGAGAGGGGGAGAGAGAGAGGGGGGGAGAGGGGGAGAGAGAGGGGAGAGGGGGAGAGAGGGGGAGAGGGGGGAGAGAGAGAGGGAGGGGGGAGGGATAAAGAGAGAGAGAGGAGGAAAGGGAGAGAGAAAGACAAACATCAATACACAACTCACCAAAGCCTACTAAAAAATCTTAAAATGATAATACAGCTCAACTCTAGATTTTTCAGTCAATTTAAACATCCATTACCTAACAATAAATAGATACACACACTGCATGTTGAAATGCGTTATTACAAAATATATGAAAAATAATTTTTAAAAATAAATTTCAAATATACTGTATGTCTTTAAAAATACAAATCTACATTTTTGGAATGTCTCCTGCAGACCTGTCGGAATATCTGCTTGCCGTACGGGATGTATGAAACGTACGGGGTGTACAGGATGTACGGGACGTACGGGGTGTACGGGACGTACGGGGGTGTACGGGATGTATGAAACGTACGGAGTGTACGGGATGTACGGGACGGGGTGTACGGGACGTACGGGGTGTACGGGACGTACGGGGTGTACGGGACGTACGGGGTGTACGGGACGTACGGGGTGTACGGGACGTACGGGGTGTACGGGACGTACGGGTGTACGGGACGTACGGGGTGTACGGGACGTACGGGACGTACGGGGCGTACAGGACGTACGGGACGTACGGGGTGTACGGGACGTACAGGATGTACGGGACGTACGGGGTGTACGGGGATGTACGGGGTGTACGGGATGTACGGGGTGTATAGGATGTACGGGATGTACGAGCAAGCAGATACTGACAAGAAGCGTCAATGAACTACCACGGCGCACCACACCACAGCACCGTGGTAGTTCATTGAAAACTACAAGCCCACAGACGGTAAGGCTGCCGGGACTCACAGTTCATTCATTCACCGAAGCCGTGAATGAATGACGTGGACATGTGGGCGGAGCCTTGCACAGCCGCGCTTTTTTCAAATTTGACAGATAGTACGGGTAGACTTCTCCCCATATCTGTCAGGAGGTTGGTCGTGGCTGCAGCTATGGGAACATGTTACATGTGGTGAACTTATCTATTAACACGTGCGATTCGCTGCAGCGTGATTTCTAAAGTAGTTCTTGCATGACTTTTTCTGCAGTTTATTGCGATTTCCCATCCATAGAAAATAATGTAAATCGCAATGCAAATTGCAAGAAATTGGTGAAAATCTTAACAAGTCGCAATAAAGTCTTCAGAAATTGCGTGATTTTAAATCGCAGTGTGTGTGACCGGTGACTAAGGCCACACTCACACCTGCGAATGGGTCCAACGCCGATTACTTGCTGGAACCCCAGCCAGGGTTCTCAGTTATTAGCTAGGAGGCTGCCAGCTCCCTTTGCTAATAGCAGCTTCTCACTTTTGGGAGTGGACCTGTTTAGCGATCTCTCCGGTGATCCCTGCTGAGCAAGCGGATAACAGCTCTGTGTCTGCTCCGCTGCTGCAGAGCAGACACAAAGCTGCTTGCTCTCCTCAATGTGCAGTCGGATGAAAACGGACCACCTATCCGTTTTCATCCAACGGACGGAAGTGGAATTGGATCCCCATCTGTCCTTTTTAGTGGGTCGGATCAGTTGTCTGTTTACACCCGCTGATCGGAGGTTCTGATCAGGTCCACCTGAAAAATGGGCAGGCGGACCCCATCGCAACATCCGTGTGAAAGAGCCCTTAACCCCTTGGCGCCGGTCCCTCCAGGCCCATTAAGGGTTTCAGAAGCGGGGAGGCGGGGTTTAGAGTCACATGACTGCTGTGACACGACGTCACGGAGGTCACATGATCAGGAAAGGTCCTGATCGAAAGAGGAGATTGGGACCTTTCCGTGAGTACCGGACATGTGTGCTGGGAGCATGCAGGGTGCGCGCTCTCAGCACATGTCTTTTTTTTTTTTTAATGGAATGCAAATGTGCGGCAGCTCGGCGTCTAAGCCCAGACCCTGGGAGGCCGCACATTTGCGTTCAGCCGGCTCCAAGAGATTAATCACCTGCGTGTGATCGGCCCCGGATGCAGGCCGTCTATGACCGGGGCCGATTACTTGCAGATGACCACTTCCTGAGTGGTCCGTGATTAGCTGTGGGAGCCGGCAACCTCCCATTGCTGTCACTAGGGCTGCCTCCTGCAGCTAATTACCAGGAGCCCCTCTGCTGGGGTTTTCGCATGTAATCAGTGTTGGGCCCATTCACATGTGTGTGGCCTAGATCAAAGTCGGACTATAGCAAACGTCAATTCTTACCCGGAAAGGGCAGAGCATGCCTGGGTGAGACAGTCCCTTTTTCCAATCTTGTTGATACAGTCACTAAAGGCAGTTTTGATATCTGGAATGGACAGGCAACCCTAGAAAGAAACCAAACATAATACGTTAAAGCAAAATCCATACCAACAAGCCCCTGGTATTACCCATGCTAAGAGGAAGGAAGGAAGAGGGGGGGGGGGGGGGGGGCGTGGCAGGTTGGTATCATTGAACCACGCGGCGTCTTCCAACAAAGACAAGCTTTCAGCCTCTCTTAGAGTTGTGCAGGCTGCAGCGGGGCTGGATGGTGCACCTGTGCCTTTAGTCCCCACCAAACTGCCGCAACCTCACGTACCCGGGCTAAATGCCCAAAGTGCATGAGGCCTTAGAGAGTCCCCGTCACCAGGCTATTCACTTCAACAAGAATGCACTTCATCCTCAATATTTACCTGGTCCCTTGTGTAGACATCCAAAAAGGAGACTGCTGCTGGGTGCCGCCATGGGTGCCGTCAAGTGACACTCTATAGCAGGGGTGTCAAACTGGCGGCCCTCCAGCTGTTGCCAAACTACAAGTCCCATCATGCCTCTGCCTTTAGAAGTCAGTCGTGCTTGTAACTGTCAATCTTGCAATGCCTTATGGGACTTGTAGTTTGGCAACAGCTGGAGGGCCACCAGTTTGACACCCATGCTCTGCAGCATTCAACTTTCCTCCTCCCCCAGCAACTGCATAAAGGTTATGTAGGAAGGGGAGGGGCGAAGGAGCTTGGCCAGCATAAACAGTAAAGAGACACTCCCTGAAAAAAAAAAAACGAGAGCTATGATGTACAAGAGGGGGCTGTGATAAACAACTGAATCAACAACACGTTGCAAGTGAATACAAATTATTTATGGAAAGCAAAAAAAAAAAAAAAAAAAAAGTTTCAGGGAACAAACCACATGTACATTCCCTGAAAACTGTCACTCTTGCATTTGCCCCGTTTTTCCCAAAAATATGATTCTCTCAAAAAGAAAGCTGTTCATATTTACAAAAATGTATTTTATTTATTTCAGGTACTTATATAGCACCATCAATTTTACGCAGCGCTTTACATATATATTGTACATTCACATCAGTCCCGACCCCCGACCCTCGAGGGGCGTACAATCCCCGACCCTCGAGGGGCGTACAATCTAAGGCCCCCGACCCTCAAGGGGCGTACAATCTAAGGCCCCCCCCGACCCTCGAGGGGCGTACAATCTAAGGCCCCCGACCCTCGAGGGGCGTACAATCTAAGGCCCCCCCCGACCCTCGAGGGGCGTACAATCTAAGGTCCCCCAACCCTCGAGGGGCGTACAATCTAAGGTCCCCAACCCTCAAGGGGCGTACAATCTAAGGTCTCTAACCCTCAAGGGGCGTACAATCTAAGGTCCCTAACCCTCAAGGGGCGTACAATCTAAGGTCCCTAACCTTCAAGGGGAGTACAATCTAAGGTCCCTAACCCTCAAGGGGCGTACAATCTAAGGTCCCTAACCCTCAAGGGGCGTACAATCTAAGGTCCCTAACCCTCAAGGGGCGTACAATCTAAGGGCCCTAACCTTCAAGGGGCGTACAATCTAAGGTCCCTAACCCTCAAGGGGCGTACAATCTAAGGTCCCTAACCCTCAAGGGGCGTACAATCTAAGGTCCCTAACTCACATTCATATATACACATACTAGGGACAATTTAGACAGGAGCCGATTAACCTACCAGCATGTCTTTGGAGTGTGGAAGGAATCCAGAGTACCTGGAGGAAACCCACATAGGCACAGGGAGAACATGCAAACTCCAGGCAGGTGGTGCCGTGGTTGGGATTCGAACCAATGACTCTAGTACTGCCAGGCGGAAGTGCCAACCATTTAGCCACTGCGCTGCCCCCAAAATGATCCTTTGTATGAAACTCTCCGCAACCAAAGGACTGGATACAAGTCTGATCTATGGCTCCTCTCTGACTAGTGAAGGGTGGATCCCAATACCACGGCCAAAACAAACATCTGTATTATAGAAGACACTTGGTATACAATGTCTAGACGATATGGAAAGCACCCGAAACAAAACCCAATGCCAGTTTAGCATTGATCAATGTCTCATGATAGCGACAGTGCTGTTTGTGACGCAAACGGCCATAAAGTGAGTCACAGGGTGTCAGGCCGCGTCACTATATACACTGTGCATCAACAAAGGACATAGTTCAATGTAAATGTCAAATGAGGGGACTGCGACACTCCTTGGAAATCCCCATCAATGGTTGTAGAGACATCTGGTGAAAGACAAACACTACATATAGGATCTGTTTTCTCTGATGTTTTTGGTTGCTCGAGTTTACTTCTATTTTTTTGGGATACATAAGTGTATTAACCACTTGCCCACCGGGCGCTTATACCCCCTTCCTGCCCACCGGGCGCTTCTACCCCCTTCCTGCCCACCGGGCGCTTCTACCCCCTTCCTGCCCACCGGGCGCTTATACCCCCTTCCTGCCCACAGGGCGCTTTATACCCCCTTCCTGCCCACAGGGCGCTTATACCCCCTTCCTGCCCACAGGGCGCTTATACCCCCTTCCTGCCCACAGGGCGCTTATACCCCCTTCCTGCCCACAGGGCGCTTATACCCCCTTCCTGCCCAGGGCCAATTTTCAGCGCTGTCACACTTTGATTGACAATTGCGCGGTCATGCAACATTGTACCCATATGAAACGTTTTTATTTTTTTTCACATAAATAGAGCTTTCTACGGTAATTAAACATATCCAATATTTAAAAAAAAAAAAAAAAAAAAAATTTCTTCATAAATTTAGGCCAAAATTTATTCTGCTACATGTCTTTGGTAAAAAAAAAAAAAAAGAAAAGGAAAAAATAAATAAATAAATCGTAATAAGTGTATACTAATTGGTTTGTGTGAAAGTTATAGCGTCTACAAACTATGGTATATAGACTAAAACTTATGCAGCTATAGATGCTATACTGGTAATGACAGTGATCAGCGATAGTGTGGTTGGCAATCTGGTGCTAACTGACACTTGCTGGGAGGTACACTGACTGACACTGACATTGCTAGTGGCACTAATACAGTGGTGTGTGGTATTAATGACACTTGCTAGGAAGAGGTTAACATCTAGGGGCAATCATAGGTTAACTGCTTTGCAGGGAGAAGACAGAGCCAGATCGCTGTGCTGTGAACATAGAGTCTGTTTGTGTCTAAACAAAGAACTCTGTTCTGGGATTGGACAAAATCATTGGCTGATTAACTCCTGCTGTGTCCAAATCGCAGCATGTGTCAGCAGGGGGTGCGCGTGCCTGAAAGCCCAGAAGCAGGCGGTGACGTGACGTACAGTTAAGTTGCTCGGCCTGCTGTGCTGCTTGTCCACAGTAAAAACTACTGCGGGCGGCGGGGGCGGGCAACAAGTGATTTCCAAAAAAAAAAAAAAAAAACACATGTTGCTGTAACAGTGTGTAAAGTGTGAGCTGGAATGGGCTAAAAACGTTTTGCCTTTTAAAGTCCATACAAACGTGTGACAATTGCTGTTCACTGCAGAACGAACAGAGTTGTCATCAACACAGGAAGTGGAAAAAATGATGTATCTACTCACAGGATCAACAGGTAATACAAATATATTACAGAGGGGATGCAGAAAAAGGTTTTTTTTGGACAGTAAGAGAGAAATGACAGCTTTGCAGCTCAGTATTGGCATCAAATGCTGATTTCTGTGGTTTGACATTTGCTACAACTCCACAGACTCAAGGTCAGTCTCCCTCTGCAGACTGAAGCATGCCACTACAACTAGCATTCCCAGCAAAAGGAAAATAAAAATATAGCAAAAAAAACCCAAAAACATGTAGCAATACGATTCCTGCACCAGCCATGTTTCTAGTTTAACATTATTAAAAATGTATTCTCTTTTTCAATTTGCAGCTGTTGGAATTTTCTGTAACACTCAATGCAATATGATAACCTTGAGGCATTCTGTACACAGTTGGTGTACAGAACACCCCCCACCCTCCTTAGAAATGGAGATTGGGCTCAATCCAGATTTCCAGAAATCTGCTCTAAGATACAAGCCAAATTTTACGCATCCTGGACACCGATAGAAGTCACATGACTGCTCTAACTACAAACTACATGGAAAATGCAATTATTTTAGTAAATAACAACTAAATACCTTTTCTCATCAGCAGTTAGAGCAGTCATGTGACTTCTATCTAAAAGGTATTTAGTTGTTGATATTTACTAAAATAATTGCATTTCCATGTAGTTTGTAGTGTGTGAGACCAGATATAGTGAATGCAGGGTCCGGGGGAGACCAGATATAGTGAATGCAGGGTCAGGGGAGACCAGATATAGTGAATGCAGGGTCGGGAGAGACCAGATATAGTGAATGCAGGGTCCGGGGAGACCGGATATAGTGAATGCAGGGTCCGGGGAGAGCGGATATAGTGAATGCAAGGTCCGGGGAGAGCGGATATAGTGAGTGCGGGGAGAGCGGACACAGGGAATGCGAGGTGCGGGGAGAGCGGATATAGTGAGTGTGGGGAGAGCGGACACAGGGAATGCGGGGTGCGGGGAGAGCGGATATAGTGAGTGCGGGGAGAGCGGACATAGTGAATGCGGGGTGCGGGGAGAGCGGATATAGTGAGTGTGGGGAGAGCGGACACAGGGAATGCGGGGTGCGGGGTAAGAGCGGATATAGTGAGTGCGGGGAGAGCGGACATAGTGAATGCGGGGTGCGGGGAGTGCGGATATAGTGAGTGCGGGGAGAGCGGACACAGGGAATGCGGGGTCCTGGGAGACCAGACAGTGAATGCGGGGTCCGGGGTTTAGTAACACTTCAATATTTATCCAATTCCCTCTTGATAATAAAATGTCCACATTATGCAGAATTCACCTTTCATTTTTCTGGCTTTTCTGTAGCATTTACAGTTTGTTTTTACTGCATGTTGGTAGGCTGTCAGCTTAATTAGAGCAGGACATTTTCAGGACAGCGGTGGACAGGTTGAAATAACCACATTTAACTCCAGTTCTTGGCAGCGCATGCAAATTACTGGAAGATTGGGCAAGAATAGGGGCAGGTGGGGGAAGTTGGAGGAGCTGTAACTCAGGGAAAGCCCAGGACACAATCCTTTAGCTTCCATTTTTGGCTTAGAGGCTCATAGGAAGGTACACATGATCCATTTTATAGGGTGTCAACAGACCAAGGGAGACCACACCTGAACCACTGTGGGGTCAGCTGAATTATCAAAGAAATGGGGTAAGGGGTGGGATTATATTCCAAGAGGTTATCTACACTTGTCATGTGTTGAACATTTGCTTCCGTTTTTGCTGTAATTTCCACTTCAAATTCTTAAAGCGGAACTAAACTTCACTTTCCTTTATTGGTCTAGGTCTCTTGACATCTGCTGCTGGGCGCTGGCCTTCGCCATCTTCATTGGTTGGCGCACAGTCGCTCCAGCACAGTCATCCCTGGCACACAAGCATTGTGCTGGAATGCAAACGGAGCTGCGCTTGTGCAGTAAAAGACAATTGCGAGCAAATAGGTAGGTAGGTTTAGGTGGATTTCCTTCATAACTTTATTAATTCTTTTATTCCAGAAAAAACATTGCATGTCTCTTCTGCAACAAAGAGCCTGTCGGTTTTTGACTCCTGGACTGTAGTTCTGCTTTAAGACCCCATTCTCCATTTACCTCCACATCCTGCTTGTTCGCCAGAACCAGGATGGGGACTCCTTCCAAAACGTCACTGCTGATTATTTTCTCTGTGTGATAAAAAGGAGGAAAGTTAGAGGGAAAATACAAAATTGCAGAAGGAACGTCTTTATGCTCTCTCGGTCTCTAAATGGGCCAAATAAAATAACCTCTTTAGAATTTCAGGTAAATAAAACCTTGTCCCCAGGACCTCCAGCTTGTAGAAGTGGGAGACTTGACAGGAAGCTTTGAAAAAAGTTAGATAGGAATGTAATCCTACGTGAATATAAGGAATCTGTCATGAGTAAGAATATGTACACATACAGCATCTCCCAGAAGTGAGTCCCCCCTCCCATGGTATACTGTATGTATGTGTATATATATATATATATATATATATATATACACATACACACACACACACACACACACACACACACACACATATACAATATATACACAGATACAAAAACAGATATATATACACACACACAGTATTTCCCAGAAGTGATTACCCCCTCCCATGGACTGTATACAATATACACCTGCCTGCAGTTTGCATGTTCTCCCTGTGCCTGAGTGAGTTTCCTACAGGTACTCCGGTTTCCTCCCAAACTCCAAAGACATGCTGGTAGGTGAATTGGCTCCTGTCTAAATTGGCCCTAATATGTGTATGTATGAATGTGAGTTGGGGACCTCGGAGTGTACGCCCCTTGAGGGTTTAGGGGACCTCGGAGTGTACGCCCCTTGAGGGTTAGGGGACCTCGGAGTGTACGCCCCTTGAGGGTTAGGGGACCTCGGATTGTACGCCCCTTGAGGGTTAGGGGACCTCTCGGATTGTACGCCCCTTGAGGGTTAGGGGACCTCGGATTGTACGCCCCTTGAGGGTTAGGGGACCTCGGACCCTTATTGTACGCCCCTTGAGGGTTAGGGGACCTCGGAGTGTACGCCCCTTGAGGGTTAGGGGACCTCGGAGTTGTACGCCCCTTGAGGGTTAGGGGACCTCGGATTGTACGCCCCTTGAGGGTTAGGGGACCTCGGATTGTACGCCCCTTGAGGGTTAGGGGACCTCGGATTGTACGCCCCTTGAGGGTGGGGGACCTCGGAAAATTTAATTGTACGCCCCTTGAGGGTTAGGGGACCTCGGATTGTACGCCCCTTGAGGGTTGGGGACCTCGGATTGTACGCCCCTTGAGGGTTAGGGGACCTCGGATTGTACGCCCCTTGAGGGTTAGGGGACCTCAGATTGTACGCCCCTTGAGGGTTAGGGGACCTCAGATTGTACGCCCCTGAGGGAGGGTTGGGGACCTCAGATTGTACGCCCCTTGAGGGTTGGGGACCTCAGATTGTACGCCCCTTGAGGGTTAGGGGACCTCAGATTGTACGCCCCTTGAGGGTTAGGGGACCTCAGATTGTACGCCCCTTGAGGGTTTGGGGACCTCAGATTGTACGCCCCTTGAGGGTTGGGGACCTCAGATTGTACGCCCCTTGAGGGTTGGGGACCTCAGATTGTACGCCCCCTTGAGGGTTGGGGACCTCAGATTGTACGCCCCTTGAGGGTTGGGGACCTCAGATTGTACGCCCCTTGAGGGTTAGGGGACCTCAGATTGTACGCCCCTTGAGGGTTAGGGGACCTCAGATTGTACGCCCCTTGAGGGTTAGGGGACCTCAGATTGTACGCCCCTTGAGGGTTAGGGGACCTCAGATTGTACGCCCCTTGAGGGTTAGGGGACCTCAGATTGTACGCCCCTTGAGGGTTAGGGGACCTCAGATTGTACGCCCCTTGAGGGTTAGGGGACCTCAGATTGTACGCCCCTTGAGGGTTAGGGGACCTCAGATTGTACGCCCCTTGAGGGTTAGGGGACCTCAGATTGTACGCCCCTTGAGGGTTAGGGGACCTCAGATTGTACGCCCCTTGAGGGTTAGGGGACCTCAGATTGTACGCCCCTTGAGGGTTAGGGGACCTCAGATTGTACGCCCCTTGAGGGTTAGGGGACCTCAGATTGTACGCCCCTTGAGGGTTAGGGGACCTCAGATTGTACGCCCCTTGAGGGTTAGGGGGACCTCAGATTGTACGCCCCTTGAGGGTTAGGGGACCTCAGATTTGTACGCCCCTGAGGGTTAGGGGACCTCAGATTGTACGCCCCTTGAGGGTTAGGGGACCTCAGATTGTACGCCCCTCGAGGGTTGAGGGGGGGACCTCAGATTGTACGCCCCTTGAGGGTTAGGGGACCTCAGATTGTACGCCCCCCTTGAGGGTTGGGGGACCTCAGATTGTACGCCCCTTGAGGGTTGGGGACCCTCAGATTGTACGCCCCTTGAGGGTTGGGGACCTCAGATTGTACGCCCCTTGAGGGTTGGGGGACCTCAGATTGTACGCCCCTTGAGGTTAGGGGACCTCAGATTGTACGCCCCTTGAGGGTTAGGGGACCTCAGATTGTACGCCCCTTGAGGGTTGGGGACCTCAGATTGTACGCCCCTTGAGGGTTTGGGGACCTCAGATTGTACGCCCCTTGAGGGTTAAGGGGACCTTAGATTGTACGCCCCTTGAGGGTTAGGGACCTCAGATTGTACGCCCCTTGAGGGTTAGGGACCTCAGATTGTACGCCCCTTGAGGGTTAGGGACCTTAGATTGTACACCCCTTGAGGGTTAGGGACCTAGATTGTACCCCCTGGAGGGGTTGGGACCTCGGATTGTACGCCCCTTGAGGGTTAGTAACTGTAGTGAATGTATGAATGTAAAGTGCTGTGTAAATTGACGGCCCTATATAAGTACCTGAAATAAGTAAAAATTACGAAGACAATGCACACTGCAGCTTCATCTGCACTGAAATGAAAGGGCATAAAGATGCTAACTGTTTTGCATTTAGGAAACCTGTCATATAAATACCTGACCCTCCTTCCCAAAGATTCCTTGCCTGTTGGCAATAGTTAGTGGATGCACAATATGCAGGTTGGGAGTTCGTATTTTTTACTGGCTGCTCTTACTTGTCCCCAGCATACGGATCCCTAAGCCGTGAAGCCAAGAGGCCACCATGGTCAGCCAGGCAGCAATTCAGAACAGGGTTATAAAGAGTACAGGTGTTCCATATACCAAAAAATAAAAAAAATGGATGTCACACAAATTCTGTTAGCTTACCAAAACTCGCTTTGACTCAGACAGTCGTGCCTCGTCTGTGGAATCAATGACGTAGATCACTCCGTGAGATTCTGCATAATACTGAGAGTGTAAACTATGGTCAATGGTCAGGGTACTACAGACAGAATGGAACATAAACAGGCACAGCCCACACCTATCCCACACTGAAAGGCTGCAATGTGAAACCAGCCTGCGACGGCTCAATGTTTTACTATCGATGAAAGATAGCCAATCATATATTTATCTCAAAACTCCGATTTTTTTATTATTATTATACTTATTATTATACAGAATTTATATACTATTATTATTATACAGAATTTATATATTATTATTATACATTTTAAAAAAAATAAATACTATATTATTACTATACAGAATTTATATATTATTATACAGGAATTTATATATTATTATTATACAGGATTTATATATTATTATTATACAGGATTTATATATTATTATACAGGATTTATAGATATTATTATTATTATACAGGATTTATAGATTATTATTATTATACAGGATTTATATAGCGCCAACAGTTTGCTCAGCGCTTTATAATATAAAACGGGAGACAATACAGCAACAATACAGTTCAATACAAGAGGGATAGGAGGGCCCTGATCCTTGGAGCTTACAATCTAAGAGGGAGGGGCTAGTGGTACAAAAGGTAGTAACTGAGGGATGGACTGGTAGGAGGAGCAGAAGATTCCACTTTTAGCTGAAGAGATAGGTTTTCAGAGATCGACTAAAAGTGAGCAGAGTAGGCAATACACCTGACCATCCCACTTATTACAAAATATATATATATTTTTTTTAATTTATTGAAGCATATTGAATACGGCCAAAATTGTAGCATATTAAATATATGTCAATATATTTGGGAATAATATTTTAAAAAATATATTTCAAATATATTTTTCTTCCATGTGGGGGGAGCGACTGTAATCTGTCCTCTTGTGGCACGTTGTTCCCTGCCAGTCCTTCCTGCCCTCCTGTCCATCCCAGATGATGTCACATATAAGCACTAGCTTTGCATTTGTCGGCAGTATGGATGCAATCTAACCATCAGCTGCCTGCAACTGACGAGGCGTAGATTGCGGCATACCCCTAGGGACCTTGTGCAAAATCTTGCTTTATATGGTCAAAAGCTTGTGGACACCTGACCATCTTACTTATATGTGTTGGGCTTCCCATTCTACGTCAATGAGCTTTGAAATGGGAGTTGCCCCTCCTTAATGTGGCTATAACAGTTTCCACTCTTCTGAAAAGACCTTCTGCTGGATTTTGGAGAGTGTCTTTGGGTTTTGGTGCCTATTCAGCCAAAAGAAAATTTGCGAGGCCAGATCTGACATCTGGGAAGACCTGGCTAACAATCAGCATTTCAATTCATCCCAAAGATGTTTGGTAGGGTTGAGGTCACGTCTCTTTGAGGGCAAGTCGTGCGCGTAGGGTTGAGGTCATGTCTCTTTGAGGGCAAGTCGTGCGCGTAGGGTTGAGGTCACGTCTCTTTGAGGGCAAGTCGTGTGCGTAGGGTTGAGGTCACGTCTCTTTGAGGGCAAGTCGTGCGCGTAGGGTTGAGGTCACGTCTCTTTGAGGGCAAGTCGTGCGCGTAGGGTTGAGGTCACGTCTCTTTGAGGGCAAGTCGTGCGCGTAGGGTTGAGCTCACAAGTCGTCGTAGGGTTGAGCTCACTCTTTGAGGGCAAGTCGTGCGCGTAGGGTTGAGCTCACGTCTCTTTAAGGGCAAGTCGTGCGCGTAGGGTTGAGCTCACGTCTCTTTGAGGGCAAGTCGTGCGCGTAGGGTTGAGCTCACGTCTCTTTGAGGGCAAGTCGTGCGCGTAGGGTTGAGGTCACGTCTCTTTGAGGGCAAGTCGTGCGCGTAGGGTTGAGGTCACGTCTCTTTGAGGGCAAGTCGTGCGCGTAGGGTTGAGGTCACGTCTCTTTGAGGGCAAGTCGTGCGCGTAGGGTTGAGGTCACGTCTCTTTGAGGGCAAGTCATGTGCATAGGGTTGAGGTCATGTCTCTTTGAGGGCAAGTCATGTGCATAGGGGAAACAGACAAGGGCCTTCCCTATATTGTTTCTACAATTTTACCCATGCAGCAAGGTCCCCCCATCCCCACACAACACAGGTAAAGTAAGCAGCAGCCCAGAGTGGGGTTTACCATTCTTTCTCTAAACACACCTGTAATTTGGAGGGGTAGTCATAGCCATATAAGTAGGAGTGATGGACAGATGTCCACAAACTTGTTGTACTGCTCCTTCTCACAATGCAAATCCATGGGCCACCCAATCTAAACCTAAAGCTAAGCACTGCAACAATAATGAAGAGAAAATTGGTCCACGTTGAGTCTCTAGATCTCTTCTTCCAAGAAAAAAAAAAAAGCGAATAAAGGCACGCAAGAGATGCTGATGTAGCAAGGAATGTCCTAGGACATTGCACAGGGACAACAACCTCCTCTGAACTGAGAGTTTTGAGAAGTGTTGGACTTGGACTCCTCCTCTACTGCCAATCTGATCAGTCAATATGGGCAACAAGAAAGGGTATTGCTGTAGCAGCATGGATAAATGCCTGTTGGCTTGCAATGGAATATATATGGAGAATTACAGTGCTGCTGGACAACAAGTCCCTGATCTGAGGACTCACCTTATCCCAAAGAGATTGCAGCTCCTCCTGCCCTCCGAGATCCCAGAACATAAGTCTGGCTTTTCCCACATCGATGGTGCCGACTAGAACAAAGAGAATAGGATAGCCTGAATTCATGAACAGTATTTAAAAAGCAACTGCATTTCATATAATAGGCAAATATTTCATGCCAAACTCCAGCCACTTTTCTTTAAGTGTCGGATAAATAAACTAATAGGGGTATCGATAGAAATAAAAAAGGTGTTTTTTTTTTTTTTTTATTTCTATCGGTGACCTCGATTCCTGTGATGCCCATATAATAAATAATGAGTACGGTTGTCAATGGGACAGTAGAGCAAAGACAGGAGTAAAAATCGTCAGAAGTTATAACCCTTCCCCACTCTGCTAAAAATCTCCTCTGCGGAGATTTCCTAACAGGAAGTGAGAAAAATCTAAAGAATAGGGAAACAGAAAGCTGGGTAAATACTGTCTAAAATTCAGCCGGTTCCGGAGTAACTGGGCAAAATCTGCTACCTGGGTTAAACACGGAACACAGGGTGGACCCCATGACACAGGAAGCACAAGCAGTATGCGTTATCGAAAAAAGTAAGCACAGACAAAACGGTTTCCTTTCAGACTCTCTCTCTGATCGAAGCTTGGATCTCACAAAGTCGCTGCTCTGACCCAATTCTGTGTGAAACTTCAGCTTGAGCCACCAAGCTCTTTAACAGGCTTTTTTTTCTGCAAAGCGAAAAGGAGGATAACATGCATACCAAATAAAAAAGGAGAATAGAATTCCACCTGCTGGCTGAAAACAAAATATAGATAAAAATACAATCCCTACAAGATTAAATCTATAAAAAAAATACAATATATATATATATATATATATATATATATATATATATATATATATATATATATAAACAAACATATATAAAAATACAATCCCTACAAGATTAAATCTATAAAATAAATACAAAATATATATATAAAAAACATATAATAAAATGAGGATGTTTACACATCACAAATCCACAAAGGTTTTATCAGGTGTGTGTTTTTTTTTGCAAACCTAGTGAGTGTTGTACTGAATTTTAGAAGTCCTTGGGTCTGGAGAACATTAAAACTGATCAGCATGCACAAAGCTGCTCGAATGATTGGCCGCTGAGGACCAAGCACTGCATTCTGGGAGCAAATGAAGGAAGGCCCCTGCTGCCTCATACCTAAAAGCACCAGGTATTTCCAAGTTTAGGTACTGTGAGTATTGGGAAGGGGGGGGGGAATCTTTCAGGAGAACTTTTTTTTTTTTAAATTCTTAAACCACTTCCCGTCTGGCCCATGTACATAAACGGGCGGACAGGAGCAGTTCAGGAGCGGGTGGCCATTTATAAACGTCCTCCCACATTCTCTGCCTGTGCATGTTCCCTGGGAGCGCGCGGAACACCGATCGCTGTACGGGACCTCTGTGTGAGGTCCCGATCATGTGATCACTGATTGGCTAATCAGTGATCACATGAATAGTAGTAAGCAAGATGTCACTTCTGCAATCATTGCTTACTACTAGTGAAATCTGTGAATGATCACAGAAGTCACATGGTACAAGGCTATTCACAGCCCTGTAACATGTGACAAGCTGTGACCAATCACAGCTCTCACAGTATTTCTCAATGGCTGCAGGAATGCAGCCAGAGAGAAGGAGAAATTATTGCTTTTACAGCCTTTATGGGTAAAAAAAAAAAAAAAAAAAAAAAAAAAAAAATATTCATCACCCCCGACAAGTAAAACAATGTCACTAAGGTCACACTGTACTGCTAGGGTGAGACAGTATGTTAAAAAAAAAAAAACAAATCATATAAAAAAATTAAATAAAAATGTAAAAGAAAAATTTTAAAAAAATTATAATTTTTGGTTATAAACTAATTTGGGTTATTTTTTTTTTTTTCACTAAAAAGATAACTGAATATATTTTGGCCAAGATTTATTAAGAAAGAATATTTATTTGCTAAATTTTATTTAAAAAAAACTTTCAAAATGTTTGGACTTTTTCATTTATATAGCAAAAAAAAAAAAAAAAATCCCACCAAAATAAAGTTTTATCTGTCTCAAAAAAATGCTAAAAAATTCATATGGGTACAGTGTTGCATGACCGCGCAATTGTCATTCACAGTGTGATAGCGCTGAAAGCTGAAGATTGGCCTGGACAGGAAGTGGGTGAAAGTGTCCGGACTGGAAGTGGTTAACCAAGTTTCTAGCCAGCTTCAGCAGGGTTTAATGAAGTTTCAAGTTGTGCCTAAGCCGACTGAGATGCTAGGAGCTAGGTGAAAGTGTCCGGACTTGAAGTGGTTAATTAAAGGTTTGCACCGGGAGAAATGAAATATGTAACAGCAAGCGCTACGCTGTACAAGAAAACATGATTCATACCGAGTATGCGCAAACAGCTTAGTAGGATGACTCCTGGGTTACATGGAAAAACTGAGTTTATACAAACTCATAAAATATATGTATTGCATGTAAACAGGAGAATAAATGACCCGTAAAACGACGACAATATACTCATTTGCATAAGGGCGCAACTTCAAAAATATATAAGTATGACGCCAGCAGGCCTGAACCAAACCTGGTCAAACCACGTCAATGGATCATCAGCTACGTCAAGTATTTCATCAATGACAAAAACCTCACTGATGCGCATCACCTTTTTCAGAAAGGAAACAAAGAGAAGAGGGAAGTGGGAAAGCGTAGGTAGAGTCTTACACATAATGAAGGTATTCATTGCAGAAACAGATTAAGTCCCAGTAGAACCACCTGGTCTTGTGTTCCTCGGAATTATCCCGAATAACAGAGGTCAAATGTTCCATGCATCGTATATCGTTCGTCAGGGCAAGCCACTGGGCTACCATTGGTGGAGATTGTAGCTTCCACATACGAGGGACACAGGCTCTTGCAGCATTCAGTAAATGTTTAAGCAGGGATTTGCGGCAACGTTTTCTGGATAAAAGCAATTTAAAAGGACTGCTTGTTGCACAGGGAGACATCTGTGTATTTGTGAATGAGGTGGAAGACTTGCTGCCAGAAGAGAGACATATATGCGGGCACTCCCAGAAAATACTGATTGATTGCTTCAGTTGCAATACTAGGGACTGAAAGGCTCCAGGAAAGCCCTTTCATGCTAAGCCAGTGGTCTCCAAACTGCAGCCCTTTACTTGCTTTTATCTGGCCTGTAATTTTTAGGAATAACTCACTGAAATCTGTCCGAACAAGAGTCTAGTAAACATCCCGGGTATGATAAAATTTGAAACACGAAATCAAAAATAATAATATAATAAATAATATAATAAATTTCATTCAATAATAAGCATCCCGGGTATGATAAGGTTTGAAACACGGAATCATAAATTATAATATAATAAATAATGCTAAAAAATAAGAATAATAATATATTTAATTCAATAATAAACATCCCAGGTATGATAAAATTTGAAACACGAAATCAAAAATTATAATATAAAAAATAATAATAATAAATTTAATTCAATAATGTAATTGAACC